ACAAGACCGATCTACTGATGGCTAAAGGTGTCACAGTGAGAGCAGTAGCGGGTAGTACTAAGCAGGATGATGAGTTAATATCAGATGGTAGTGGATAACTGAGTATATTTTACAAATCTTATTACTATTTACACAATTTTTATGACTAATACATAATGATAGGTTTTTCTTGGTGTGCTGTGTGGTGGTCGCCGACGAAGCTCTTTTCTGTTAAGTAGTGAATTATGTCACTATGTTGCACTTGTTGCCTGATGATGAGGCCATTTCTTGTGACAGTTTAAAGTATGTTACGATGTTGCGTTTTGTTGTTAAAAATATGATATTCAAAGTTGAACATTTGTACAAGCAGAAACCATTGAGTGTAGGTACATATTATGCCTATTTTATTTGTCATTGGATTAATTTTGTAGTTTTTATTTCCATTTGATGAAAGACATCGTTATAGAAAAAAATGTTAAGAGAAAGATTTTCTTTGTTCCCCCGTTTTTGTGTTTGAGCCCCGTTTATTCATAAGAGCAATTCCTTTCGTTCGAGTGTTTCGTTCAAGGGCGAGTAGAGTCAGTGCAAAAGGCTCATTGTTTATCGCGTGCGGTAGCGGCGCGGCGGGCGTGGCATCGGCGGCGGCGGCGGCGGCGCGCTGTCGGCACTGTCGTCGCGATAACGCCAATTAAGCGCCGTGCGATAACACTAGTCGTTATTGCACCCGCACCCACACGAAGGCAGGTACTTGTCATGTCGGATATTTTATATGTTTAGGCTCTGCATGTTTTAACTTTAGCTTCATATTGAATAAAAATTGTTTCGCACATTTTTTGTACACGTACCTCCAGAGTGGAGATGCACTGAAATATGACGCGTTGAATATGCTAGCAAACTTTATGACCATTGACGAAATATTTTGGTTTTAGAACTGACATTTATTTGACGACATGTTCATTTTCAAATGCTTCTTAGTGCATAGGACAACAAATTATTGAATTTATTAAATCACGAAGTACCGTTCATTCACAAACCAGATTCCCTGAAAAGAATGTGTGAACGACTTGTTCGTCCCGTCACTTGATATTATATTAAAAAAAGAGTAAGAAACTTCAAGGTCAAACTTTTTGTGAATATGTAGATTTCCTTTATTGAAAAATATCACACGTAAAAGTAAACTGAAAGGGCTAGCAAGACACTCGCATTAATTTTTTTTGTTTAAACCATTTGTTTTGCAATTGTTTAAATTTCGTGAATGGTATATTATTATTCCGAATATCTCCAGGGATCTTATTATAAGAGTCATTCGTGACTCTAATGGATATGACTGTTAAGAACAGCCAGTTTGTGGTTGTTCCTCGTTCATTTATTATATTTTTAATAAGGAACAAATACGCATACATGCAACCGTTGCATGTACATTATACCCGCGGTATTGAACCCATAAAATGCTATAGTTCGAAACATATTGTTATAATATTAACATCACAACAAAGTAAATAAAACTGATGTTAAACATAATATGTTTAATGGCATTTAATTTTTAACACATTGCATTATTGATATATGTGAAAATTATTGTTAATATGTGACAATATTTATCCGTCAGTCAGTAGCACTGAAATGAAACGTGACGTTCCAGCTACCAAAAATATGTATATACTAAAAAAAACACTTTCCGTAACAAATCCTAGAGCTTTGTCTAATAAAACTATTAGCGACACGTACACACGTAACACTGCGATTGTCTGCGACCACTTAGCGTCTGACGCGTGCCAACTATAGGTCTCGAAAGACCTATCTGTGCCCAGTCCGCCATTTTTGCTTTGAATGGTATGGTTGTGTCATGCTTTCGTGCAAATTCTCTAAAATCCTAGAAAAATGCCCTATTGTGCTGTTCTGGAATGCAAAAATGATAGCCCATAAATATATAACCAAAAATATTACCCGTGGTGGTATCTCATATCAACGGAAAGTCTTATTTTAATAAATTATCAATTTTCTGTTTATGGATTTCTTTTTGTTACAAGAAACGAAACTAAAGCTTTATACCTTTGCAATATGGTCGCTTCTTGTTTGGAGAACTAAATCAATAAGTCCAATTCGTCGTCGTTCAGCAATTAACCGCTAGATGGCAGTACATTGATTGAAATGGTAACATCGTGTCCGTGATAAAATTTGTTAAAAATTAAAAAACTGGTTTTTAGTGGTGTGAATGTTATCTCTTGATTTAACTAAAACCCTTAGACATTCAATGTATTATCTAGTAAACATTAATTATATACATAATTCAATTCAGATTCTCCAATTCAAATAAACTTACGGACTATAAATAACAATATTTGTTCTTTCCCTAGTGCAAATTCATAAGTATATAGTGAAAATAAAGTGTTTATTTAGTTGTGGAAAAGTTTAAGATTTCAAAGGAACAGTTGAGTCAAAGTCAAAGTCAAAGTCAAAGATTATTTATTCCATAGGTTAAATAAATTTACACTTGAAATCGTCACATTTAAGCTACTGCTCGTTCACTACGCTGATCTCCCTGAGAAGAACGAGCAAGAAACTCTAGGGATTGCCTTTTCAAATAAACTTAAATGCTGCAGAATACATTTTGAATCATATTTGTGTGGAATCTAGACTCACGCTGTCTTTTCATACATCTTTAGGTATCTAACACGTAATCTACAATTTTGTAATATGACTTTTCAATTAAAATACTTTTAATGTAAGTTTTAAACTTAGGGAATAGTAATCGTAATATGTGCTGCGGAAACTTATTGTAAAAACGTATACAGTTCCCCATAAAAGAATCATTTACCTAAGTTAAACGAAAATGTGGTACCACGAGTTTGGACTCTTGGCTATGGTTAATGGCTATCTTCTTTCTTAACGGAATTATGTATATTTTTACGGGCGTATAAAATATTTGAGTAAATGTACTGTGATGCCACGCCTCCTTAAACTTTTCTCTAAGAGAAATCCGAGAACCTAAACGGAACATAACGAATCGCTCGTTTTTGCAACACAAATATGGTTTGTATATCTGCCGCTTTACCCCACATGAGAATCCCGTAGGACATAATAATACTATGGAAGTAACTAAAGTAAACTAGTCTAGCAGTAGCAACATCGGTAAGCTCACGTATTCTGCGGACTGCGTATGCAGCGGAGCTTAATCTGCTGGCCAGGGAAGATATATGTGGAAACCATTGGTTTACTATCTAAGGTCACTCCCAAGAAGACTACTTTATTAACAAAGTCTAACCTTTCTCCGTTTATTTCTATGCTTGGACTAGTCGATTTTACTTTAGGTAATTCAAATTTAACATATTTTGTCTTCTTGGCATTAAGCAATAAATTGTTAGCATTAAACCAATAAAGTACCTTAGAGAGGGTACCATTAATATGGTAATGTCATATTAATGGTATGGTTAATGTCATGTCTGTCTGTTTTAAAAATCAAGGATGTGTCATCAGCAAACAACACTATTTCGCAATGGTCCTTAACAAAGAATGGCAGATCATTAATACAAATCAAAAATAAGAAAGGCCCAAGTATTGAGCCCTGCGGAACGCCCATTTTTACCGGAGAACCCAAAGAAGTCACACATTTATGTCTACTTTCTGAATTCTACCGTTCAGATATGACGAGATAAGTTTCGACGCCTTGCCATTTACACCGTAATGTTCCAGCTTCCTAATAAGAGTAATATGATCAACGCAATCAAATGCCTTTGAGAGATCACAGAAAACACCAATAGCGTTCTGGGACCTTTCCCAAGCATCAAAGATGTGTTTTAGTAACGCTAGCCCCGCATCACTAGTCGATCTACCACTAGTAAACCCGTATTGTTCACTATGAAAAATATGATTCCTACCGAAATAGGTCAATAATTGAGTCAGCATAACCTTTTCGAATATTTTACTTAAAGTTGGTAAAATTGAAATGGGCCTATAGTTGCTAGGATCAACTTTCCTACCGCTTTTGAATAAGGGCATAACCTTGCTGTATTTCATTAAATCGGGAAAAACACCTTCGTCAACGCATCTATTGAAAGCTACAGCTAACTGTGGGGAAATTAGATGAATAACTGAGTCTATAACTTTAGTTGAGATGCCCCAGAGATATTCAGTTTTTTTAACATGTATTGATTTAAAAGCTTTTATGATGTCTTGTGGATTAACATGACGGAAATTAAATAAACTGCCACAAACGTTAACATTTTCCTTAGGAGATCAATAGCAAGTGAAGGGGAGGAATTTAATGATTCTGTAGTGTTAACAGCAATTTCCGAAAAGAACGATTCAAAAGCTTGAGCTACTTTATCTTTATCTTAATACTTAGACCATGATGACGACGATCCTCTGAACATTATCACTCAAATACGATTTAAGACGGCCGAGGTCATAACACCCGAGCCCCGCCACACTTTCCTTTTTATCAAATATGTCTAATCGCCTCAACGTCAGCGTCGCGTCGGTTGTAAAGGTCCCAGTGTACTCACCAAGGGGATGTAGCACCACGCGCGTCTGGCGGTGGCGGCTGGCGAAGCGCGCACCCGCTGCACCACCGCTACCCCCTGTCACCGACGGCCTGTCAATCAAACAGGCGCTTTAGAATTGATTTGACTCCTATTATACGTAAGCATTTAGTCGGGTACAATGAATCGTCAGAAACCAATGCGGTGAGTCTGCAGAACGCGTCGGTGGCGAGCTCGCGCGGTAAGCGCAAAAGAAATCCGGCTTAACGCGGTGCGCGCGTAGTAGCGCCGCCAGCAGCTCTGCGCCGGCACGGCCGCTGCCGTTCGTAGGCCCGGCAGACACCTTCCGCGACGCGAGCGCCGCGGCGCCCTCATACGTCTGGTCGGGCAGCAGCATGTCGCGCGCATCGCGCCGCTCCACACCTCGCCAGAAAAAAACATTATCGCAAGTCTACATTGGTCCTTTACTAATTTTGTGAGTTCGTGTAATGTGTGGTGACTCTGTAATTATAATAATCGTTTAATATAATTATTGAGATTGTTTTGTGAAATAACTGCACTAGTTTTTTGTTATGATTATGAGAGAGACAAAGACCAAAGACAGAAAAATGATGCTGCATGGCTGTGGGTGGGTTCAAGTCCCACCGGTCCGATTCATAATCATATTATGAATAGAGAAGCCCATTTCCAGTGAATATGATCGAAATGAAAATTAAAATAAAAACATAATAAAAACAATCTATATAAAGGAAAAATACAGAATCCAAAACCATTCAAACCATTTGGTATTTTCGTATGTGCGTAAAATTGACACGTTTAATGTAAAGTGCGGACTCTGTGTAAGCTGTCTATTACTCTAATCGCTTACGTAAATTCCACATGATCAGTCTCAAAGATTTAAAGCAAGCACTTTACATGAAATTGTTCAATTCTTCTCTGAATTCTCAATTAAATTCGTCATTACGTCGGAAGCTTTGAAATATTCAAAAGAAAAATTAACAACTCCGAAACAAGTACATACTTTACGACTTTATAAGTGTCGAAATACAATTAAGTTAATTTTAATTTGGTTGATTTAGAAATTAAATCAAAAGTAAGAACCTACTGCTGACGGCGCGAGGAGATGACGCGAAACGATGGTCGGTCATTACTGACAGTGACTCGCGCCTCGCTGTTCCGTCGTTGGGACCCAAATTAAACATCAATGATTTGATTTCAATTATGCCGACGACACGGAACTCAACATCCTTAACTACCATCGATGTGTATTGTGATAATACCGTCTTGTATTAAAACAATTACGGGCAAAGACTGGAGGCATAGGTCTACTCTAATGACAAGTATGGAGCTGTTCTCGCATGAGGCGTCTTTTAATGTGGTGGAGTAGGTATTACTTATTTCGCTGTAATGGATGTCGGACGGAGAACGGGATTACACCCCCTTGGACCCCTTCATACTAAAATGTGGACGTGCAAGTTACTAGACTAGCATCGAGACTGCGGGGACTTGTATGACAAGAAAATGATACCAGGCGACACTCAGCGCGCACCTCATTAAATCTGGGCAGCAAGGATCCAACAGTGTCAGTCACGGAACAAATCGGAGGAGGTCCATATTCAACAATGGACTTGCTTTAGAAGGCACATTTTTTTTTCTAATATCAAGTGACGAAACGAACAAGTCGTGCGCCTGATGGTAATTTAAGCTATACGCCTGTCCATAACAGTTGCAGAGCCACTCAGAGCTTTAAGTCGCAAAGATCTGAGGGACATTGAGACATAAGTTGCCAAGTCCCATGTGCCTGTGATTTCCCCAGCATCGGCTCTTACCCTTCAAAACCGGAACACAGTAATGCTGACATAACTGTTTGGCGGGAGAAATGGGCAAGATGGCAGTACTTCCCTGGACGAACTCTTTCACAAGGAACTCTACTGCTATTAATTGTTATTACTAACTAGTAATAACATGCGAATGTAAGTATAATACTTGCTAGTATACAAAATGGTACAGTGAATAAATACTAGAGCTAAATAAAGGTATGTTATAAAGTTAAAGTCAGTGTTAACCAGGGTTGAAGCTGTCTGTGTCTGCTGGGGTCGAGAAGTTCGTGACGACGCGACTGCTCGAAACGTTGTGCTAAGGAAACAATCACAGACCCTAGTGAGCTTACTCCGCATCGCATATCATGTCGGAATCAGTCGCGGAGGTTTGCGCGGTACACGGAGAGGTGCGGGCGGGCGGGGCGGAATGCTGCGCGCGAGGTTTTTGCGCGCCCAAACGTCTTCGCTTCGATAGGCCGCCATTTAACTGACTCGTTGGTGCCTAAAAACTTGACGCGCAACCTCTGCGCTGCAAACGTTTTATCACTCAATTCTGCAAAACGATAAAGTCGATACGAGTTCGCAATGTGTCATTCCTTGTATACCAGAAAGCGCTGGAAACAAACTGGCAAAGGTGGGCAGCAGTGGCGGCAGCAACGGACGCTAGCGTTTCTGCGTGGCTGCGCCCGGATATGGATTATCCATAAGCGGCCCAGACGGCCTGTGGCGGCCGAGCCACCGCTACCTATATATTTCTATACGCATATGACTATATTATTTTTTCTCTAGATTACACGAGCTACTCTCTCCGAATCCTATTTTTATATTCGTGAACATAGAAACTATATTTGTCGTGATATTCACCACCGCAAACCCATCTGGCGAGACTGCCGATGCCATCTCTCGCCATCAAGCCACAGAGAAACCAGCAATAAGCTAAACGAAGTTTCGATAACAGCTAACGTCATTTTGTCGTATATGTAGTAACTTGAGTGATGTGTAACTAAAAATGGAAAACATAGGAACTTAATGTGTGACTGTTCACCTCCCGCGGCACCTAAATGGGAGTTAGCGCGCTATGTAAGACATCGACCGGCCGCGGCGGCCCACTGCCGACTGTCCACTGCTCCATATTTTTTGCGTACAGCCGTCGATCCGTGTCACTGTCACTTGTCACTGCGAAGAACCTGCTGCGCTGGCGGCAACACGCGTGTACTCAGTATTGACGCGCACATACTCAGTATATACAACTTATTTTCGTACCTATATATTGAAAAGTTCCTGTGCACACTGTCCGAAATGTACGCGATAGAAAACCGACAAGCAGGCCACTTTTTAGCGGTATTCGAGAATTTGTCAACAAGAAAGTCGTTGCTAATAAGTCTCGCTTTGCTTTCCCCTCCACCGCTCTAAGGCAGCCAACTGGCATCGGGCAGAGCCGATGCAAATGCGGCAGTGGGACTCCACACACAATCGAACTTGTACTTTATAGAGATTTTAAAAATCTTTCAGTATGAACGACTGCCTGGCATGATGTTATGCCTAGTTTTTTGACACCAGTTTTTGCCAGGCTCCAAGGCGTTTGCAAGTCTCCAGGATGTAGAGACCAAAGATGAAGATTGGGTGACAGGTCCAAACCAAGTAGCTCGAGGTGGTCACTTACCGATACCGGAAAGTCGGAGTACAGTGACACGCCTGTGTTTTAGCTTCATTAATCCTGACCTTGTTCGCGTCTCCGGAATAGGAAGCCGCTTTCGGGCTTTGGTTCCAGCGTAAGGCCATCTCCTCTCGTTTACGACGGCTTTCAACGCTATTGGCATGGGCGTCCGGCACTATTTTATTATTTTCTACCACTGTGCCGTCGTCTGCATGCCCAAAAGGTACCGGATAGCTTGACACTGTAGATTACAATAATAATAATCGTTTATTGTCTGAACACATTAATAAATAATATAGATTATTGAAGTTCCTTAGTAAAATAGCCAATTGCGTAATTATTCATTAGTTATCTCGTTGTTTTACTTGCGGCCTCTGCATTAAGCTGAGGTTTATGTCGCAGAGACAGTATTTGAATGTAACTTTCAATTAAATGTAATTTTAAGACAGGTCGTACACTCAGAGTACACTTGACAGAAAGAGCATTGTTAGTAAATAGAGTATTACCCAAGAGAGACCTGGCCCTTCTGGTTTCACAAAAGCAAGCGCAGCCAAAAACGCGTCATTAGTTCGCTTGCCACTACGGCGCGGCGGGCGCGGCGACTGCTGCGGGGGAGAGTAATCTCTGCGACGCGGACTTTATTCGTTAGCAAATGTCAAAAAATCACCCACATGCTTTCCATTCTCCCGTTGTTTATCGTGCGCCGTTTAAAAAACAGTCCGACAAGATTTCACATTAAAAAGCTAACGCAGTAAAAATATCTGTTTTACTTATTATTTGTTACGAACAATATTTCGTAGAGTGGTGGGAACTGTGTGACAAGAAAAATGAAACTTCGTCTAACATCATAGAATGCGTCCGCGTCACGCTGCCGCATCTTTTATCTATTGTTTTCACATAAGCGACGACGCACACTTGCCATTCGCGTTAGTCTCGAATTTCCGAATTCATGGTACCTGTAGTACTTAGCTAAAAGTTACCTGTTATATCCCAAACAAATTATGCACAATACTAGAAAATTCCTTTTTTGAACAAATATGTTTTTTTTCGTTTATAGGAGGATAAACGCTATCGCTGGAATGAATTCTTTTTAAATGTGGTCGCCCCTTATGAGTTTCAGCGTATTTGAATCAAACGGCCGGATGGCACTGCCCGGGCTGCGAGAAACCTAAATTAAGGGGCGGCACACGCCACGAGTGCACTGTTATGTTGTGGTACCTACATAACCCTGAACACAACTGACGTCGGCTTCGGTCGGTCATGCCGTCGGGTCGAGTCAAATTACTTAATGAATATAATGTGGTGACTTATTCGCATGCGCGGCCGCGAGTGCGTTCCCACGCCAGCGAATGCTCGCAGGCGCGACGGAGCTCCTCATTATCACTCAACGATTTGCGTGCACTTTGCCTGCGCCAGGACCTGGCAGCAACAAAACAAAAACACCTTCACCCTCGACCGCGCTCGGGTTATCGAGTAATTTAAGCTCGTTGCACTCGCGAACGCTTTATTTTTGATATCCATCGGTCTTACTACTCGTCCCGAACTACTCGTATAATGTATGTACATGCTTAATTGTAGGTGAGTAAGAACGTACAAGAAACATTTCATCTTTAACACCACCGAAATATTTAGTTGTTTGAATGAATACTCGGACAAGGGAATTATAAGTACATATACATATATACCTATGTATTTATTAGTGCCTAATGTTGAACAGAAAGAGGATAATTCCCTTACCGCAGGTCAACCTGTTAGCTTATTATGCCCTCACGCCGCCATCGCCAGCTGTTTCAATAATAATATTGTTCATTATTATTTGCCGAATACGAAAATTTCAAGTTGTTGCTAACTTTCGTTGCTTAGCTACACTAGGTACCTATTGTGTTTAAAGTTAAAAAGATAGTGCCCTGGAGTACTTTAGCCGGCCATTGTACTAATGACGACATAATGTACTTTAATTGGAATACTTTTTCATTCATAAACAAGTAATCAACATCTTAATAAAGTGTGTCATGATTAGTATTTTTGTTATACCGGTAAGAAAGGTAAATAAATTCTCTTTCATTATTATTACTTACTTTGATCCTAGACGTATTTGAGCCGGACAGGGCAGGTCTTCGGTGCGGTTGGCAACAGCAGATTAAGTTACACCTCAGCATACCCATCTACTTATCTATCTGGTAGATCTCTCCGACAGAGTCACCAGTGACTATCCGAGCACCTCGAGAATTTGACATATTTTTAGTTACAGAAATAGGCCAGAATTGCTTCCCGACGATATGGAACCTAGACGTAGCGTGATAAAATAACATTGTGTCATTTACCTATAATAAAGCATATTACATTTATATACATTTTTGCGCGCCAGTCCGATAACATTGTGAAGCGATTCTTAAGTAATTATGACGTTACGTGTACAGAAATGCTCGTGATTCATGGAAACTTACAGGGAGAGAGCGTCTCGGCGGTGCATCAGCCGCCGCGATTCGTAAACAACACGACGAGTGACGGGACGAGGCAGCCACGAGCCCGCGAAGCGGCCAGCGCGAGCGGACGTGCGCGCGCGCCCGCCGGTGGGCGCACTGTGCGGCCGCGACCGCGCCGCCGACAGCCGCCCTCGTCGCCGACCCTCCTCTGGTTCAAGCTCAAGGCGCTTCGGTGGATGGGGCTAGCTAAACAGCCCTCATGGCATTCCAGCGAGGGAAAGACGACGTACGAAAGGATAAGAACTATATGCGACAAAGGCAGGCTTCACCACCACGTGAACGTCGAGGCCACTCGGCTCCTTGACCACACAGATACAAGACGTTTAAAACGGACAAAACCATTTGAACAAGTGTAGTGTTAGTGTATGATTAAACTAAAAAGAACACGCGATAAAAGTGTCTTCGCCTTAATAGATAATAAGAAAATTGCCAGGGGGTTAATTCTTATATGGGTATAATTTGTTTATTTATTAGTTAGTAGTGAAATGTAAATTACTTATTAGTCTTGTATTTGACTAGATTGTAATGCATTTATAACGTACTTTACTAGTGTTTATAAATAAAACAAAAAAATGCGACAAAAGTAATAGTTTAGTTACATGATGCACACGTTACTGATGATACGGCGTCAATGGCTGTGCCGATTAGTTCATAAATTCAAATTCAAAATAATGTTTATTTCATACATAGGTAAGCAATAATTACACTTGAAATCGGCACAATGGTTCAACTCTACCGCTCATTCGTAAGGCAGATTCGCCTGAGAAGAATGAGCAAGAAACTCTAGGGGTTGCTCTTTGTAAACAACATTTGTACACATTCAACATTTACAATATTTTTTTTTTATTTGATACGTCAGAGATCGAGACTACCTCCATGAGCTAAACGGGTTACTACCACGGATTTTTGTCATCCAAGTACGCAGAAGTTGTATAACAACCTTTAGTATAAAATTTTGTTTCACTGTAGTTTTAAACCTCGTGAAAGGCAAATTTTGTATATCAACCGGAATCTTGTTACAGAAGCGTATACATTGCCCCTTAAATGATTTTTGACTTTGTGAAGACAACTATCAAGAAAAGCTAGTTTATTATAATTATTATTACCGTGCAAGAAGACGTCGGTTCGAATCCGACCGGATCCAAGGAATTTTCTACTAATAATTATAACAAACTAGTGGAGTAATTTCACAAAAAATAATTGAATATCAATTCAATAAAAATTTTATTAAGCTAGTTTATTTTTATTCCTCGTATTAATGTTATGTCTGTCACTAGTTTTCATAAAAAAATTACTATTCCTTTTAACATAAATTACATTTTCATAAATGTACTGTGAGGCTAGTGTAAGAATGTTAATTTCCTTAAACTTATCTCTCAAAGATACTTTGGGGCCCAGATTGTAAATTGCCCTAACTGCACGTTTCTGTAGGACAAAGATTTTATTGATATCGGTGTTACCTCAAAGCAAAATGCCGTATGTCATTAGACTGTGAAAGTAGCTGAAGTAAACCAATCTAGCGGTTTCGACGTCTGAAAGTTTCCTTATTTTTTTAATCGCGTACACTGCAGAGCCGAGCCGCTTTGATAACTTACTTATATGGGGACCCCATTGCAATTTAGCATCTAACGTTATAATACCTAGAAATACAACTGTATCCACAAGATTCAATATTTCGTTTCTGACTACAATGTTTGTAACCGTCTCTCTAACATTGGGTAATGTAAATTTCACACAATTTGTTTTTTTCTCAATACTCAATACTCAATACTTTATTGCTTTTCCATAAAGATAAAAAGGTGTTACAAAATATAAATACAGAACGTTTATGGACCCTGTGGGGCACAGCAATTGAGAGGGAGGCATTCTTTTAAATTACAATTTTTTAAATGATAATATTCAGTAATTACTATTGAGGTACGGTTGTATATTATTTTATAATCCGTGTAAACATGCATTTAAGTATTAATATGTACTAATTAGGTTAATATAATGTTTTTATTTATTTGTATTTGTTTGGGTATCTATTTATGTAGATATAAACAATTTAAATATTATCATTTAGGTATTCCTGTATAGTATAATATTGTTTTGTGACTAATAGGTTTTTTATTTGTTTTATAAAATCTTTTTCTTTGTTTAAATATTTAATGTAGTTCGGTAATTTGTTGTATATTTTGATTGACATGACTAGTGGGCCAGAATGGTATAATTTTAAACGGGAGATAGGTAGTGCTAATTTGTCACGGTGACGTAAATTGTATCCAGGGGCAGTCTCTCCTCGCTTTATGTAGAATTCTGGATATTTCTTCACAAATTTGCATGCTTCCAAAATATAGATAGATGGTAGGGTCAGAATTTTATGTTCAGCAAAGTATGATTTACAGCTATCTGTGTTATGTAAATTAAAAATTATACGAATTAATTTCTTTTGTAGGGTAAATAGAGAATGGGCATCCGTACTATTTCCCCACATGATAACGCCATAGCTAAGCCATGCATAAGCGTACGCGTAATAGAGAGTGAGTGATGTGTGTATATCTGTTGTTATTTTGATTTCGCGTAACGCATATGCAAAGCTTTAGAATTTGGATTTAAGTTTCTGGACGTGGGACCTCCAATTTAACCGTGTATCTATTTCCAGACCAAGCAAATTAACTTCATTCACAGTTTCTATGTTTTTGTTTCCGTAAGTAAATTCAATATTTAAAGGCCTTTTTTGGTGTGGGTAGAAAGTGATTATTTTTGTTTTTTTTAAAGTTAATTTCGAGGTTGTGGTCTATCATCCAGTTATCTATTAAATTAAATATGGAATGCAGTCTGTTGTTTAAATTGGAATCGTCATTGCACGAGAGAAGGAGAGAAATATCGTCAGCAAACAATATACAATGATCGTCTCATTAAGGAGTATCGTTTGTATGTCACGATGACATACAAACGATAAAATTGGACAAACTAAAACTCCTTTACTTTTTCTTCTATAAACGATGACAGTAGTTACACAAGACAACTCTGGAACTCCACCGTATACACATACACGTGTATGGTATAGATATTTATTGGAATTGGAGTGAGAGTACAGTTAGGTTATCGACGGTGTTTCTCCGACAATCAACTAAATTATCATCTGCTTTGTCGCAGAAAAAGGAGAGAAATGAAACAGCAGTTACAAAATAATGCATTTGTAATGACAATCAATAAATACAAACAATCCACACAGGAACTACATACTACTACCAATTACCGCTAAAGTTTCAGATATGATTTATGGGAACAGGAACTGAAGTCTTATTCAATTTCTTACATACTTATTCGGCTTCGCTTATTTATTCGGCTACAAATTTATTTATTTATTTATGGCATAGCTACAGAATACAAACTGTAAGTTTAAACAAAAGTTTCAAGTTAACATGCATAACAATAGGAGTAAATTTGCATTCCTGTAAATGAACTAACAAATTAAGATACTATTGAACAAAATAAGTAAATTGCACTTAAAAACAATTCTGTACAAAAATTGTAAAAGCTATAGAAAAAGGAGTCTCTCCTAGAATTGCACGATACATTCGTGAAGACACTTTTTGTACTTAGGTTCCTAATGATCTTAATAAATAATTGCTGTTTTGTTATACATATGAGCAGCTTGATTGCACTCTTCGCGAGTATCGTTTGTTTTGTACATGCTACGACATACTTAACAGTTTCATCTCTAAAAGACGTTACAATTGGCTTTATTTGCTATTGTTCCCACATTCATATCTGAGAAATAGATGTGTGCGAGCGCGGGCGCAAGCGAGGTAACCGCGCAATAGTCATACTTGGCAGCTCCCGTCCACTAAGGTAATGGACTGGATACGAGAGTGTCCGTGACCGCGCGCGCACACCCGGAATGTATGTATCACAGTCGCAAGCCGCATGCGGCTGTGCTTATCGCTACTCGTACCCGCGGTACATAAAGAGACCGACATTTAACAATAAATTAAAAACATACAACAAGTATCCTATCACCCATTTGCATTTATCTACACCCGATGCCATCCGGCGCGAGCGTCTTGCTCGTCATGTAATGTTATCGAATCCAATGTCCACCATAACTATTACATCCTAGAGTAACTAACACAGATATACGACTAACTGCATTAGTTATCCCGGTGTATGTACACGTAAATATATATATAATTGTGTACTATTTAGTACAGAAAATTTCACTGTTCGAACGTCGGCGGCGCTCCGGTACGGACGGTGCCGCGCTCGTTGCCATTCGGATACGGCATCGTTCAATTCCGGTATTCTACAGCTACGAGACCGGGCAGTCCGCGGCTCGCCTACTCGGCCAGCAGCCGGCTGACGTGGTCGGCGATGGTGCGCGCCGCCTCGCCCGTCAGGATGGTGCGGTGCGTGCCGGGCAGCTGCCGCGTCTGCAGCGGGCCGGCGCACAGCTCGCGCAGGCCGTAGTCCTCGCCCAGCGTGACGTAGTTGTCGCGCGCCGTGAACAGCGTGACGGGCGCGGCCAGGCGGCCGGCCGGCCGGTACGTGTCGCCCGCCACCAGCTTGCGGTAGAAGGAGGCGGCGGCCGCGGCCAGCGCCTCGGGCGGGAAGGGCGCGGCGTCGGCCAGCAGCGCCACGCAGCGGCGCACGCGCGCGTCCCAGTCCGCCAGGCGCTCCAGCTCGGCCGCCAGGCGCGCGGCGTCGGCGTCGGCGAACAGCTGCGCGAAGTAGGCCAGCGCGTCGGCCTCGTCGGCGGCCGCCGAGCGCTCGGCGCGCTTGGCCTTGCCGCGCGTGGTGTGCGTGGCCACGTAGGCGGGCGAGCCGTCCACCAGCACCAGGCGCGCCGCCAGCCCCGCCGCCTGCAGCTGCAGCGCCATCTCCACGGCCACGCTGGCGCCGAACGAGTAGCCCAGCAGCGCGTACGGCGGCTCGGGCTGCAGCGCGCGCACGTGCGCCACGTAGAAGCGGGCCAGCGCGCTCATGTCCTGCAGCGGCGCCGCGGCCGTGCACTGCAGCCCGAACACCGTGCCGCGCACGCCGGCCGCCACGCCGCGCAGCAGGTCCACCACGCCCTCGATGGGGTGCACCATGAACACGGGCCGCGCGCCCGGCGGCGCCGCAGCCGCGCTCGGCAGCTTCACCACCACCTGCTTGGGCACCAGCTCGCCCAGCGTCGCGATCTGCACGGAGTCGCCGGCGCCCGCCACGGCGCCGTTGGCGGCGGCATGCGCGCCGTCGGCCGCGCCCCCGGCCAGCTCGTGCAGGCGCGCGAACGTCAGCGTTCGTATTTCCTGCACGCCGAGGACCAAGTCGTGTCCCCGCTCGAGCGTCTGTTTGATTTCGGCGCCCATCAGAGAGTCCATTCCTAGTTCCGCCAGGCTCGCGGACTGCGAGACTCCGGCCGGATCCTTTATTCCTGCACATACGTCGTTTGTGGTTACCGTCGAGCGGCGTGACGTGAGCGCCGCCCGACCCCCCGCAACGAAAGTGTCGCCCCACCTAAGATGTTGGCGACCTGGTGCACGAGGTCCTGCTGCCCTCCGGCGGCCTTGGCGCGCCGCTTGTCCGCCAGCACCATGCTGGCACCCACGGCGTGCGGCAGCGCCATGAGCGCGCCCAGCACCTCCATGCAGGACGCGATGCGCTGCGGCACCGTGCCGCCCACCTCGGTCTCGTCGCCGCCCATGGTCTCCGCCACGAGCCCCACCTCGCCTGCAAGCCCCCCGGTCAGCACGTCCGCCGCGGCGTCGGCCCAGCCGCCCCGCCTGCCCCGCGCTCACCGATGGCGCCCCACTGCACGGCCAGCCCCGGCAGCCCGTCGGCCTGGCGCCGCTCCACGATGCGCTCCATGGCGGAGTTGGCGAAGCCGTAGTTGCTCTGGCCGGGGTTGCCGCGGCCGCACGACACCGACGAGAACACCACGAAGTACTCCAGCTCGGGCGCCAGCTCGCGCGTCGCCGCGTCCAGCATGCGCGTCGCTGCAACAAGCGGCCGTCACCGTCCGCCCGGCGCCGGGGCCGCCGAGCCCGCCGCGGGGCCGACCTCACCTTCGACCTTGGGCTTGGCGACGGCGCGGAAGTCGTCCGGCGTCTGGTTCTCGAGGAAGGCGTCGCGCAGCACGGCGGCCAGGTTGAACACGCCGCCCACGGGGCCCAGCCCCGCGGCCTGCCGCAGCAGCTCGCGCGCGCCCTCGGCCGAGGCGGCGTCGGCGCGCGACACCAGCACGCGCACGCCCTTGGCCCGCCAGCGCCGGACGCACCAGGCCTGGTAGCCCGTGCGCACGCCGCCGCGCGAGTTCAGCAGCAGCCGCGTCGCGCCGCGCCGCACCAGCCACTCGGCCAGCTCCAGCCCGAAGCCGCCCAGGCCGCCCACCAGCACGTAGCTGCGCGCGCCGTGCATGTAGGTGCGCGGCAGGGCCGACACCAGCTTGGCGCCCGCGGCGGCGCCGGCCGCCTCCTCCTCGCGCACGCGCAGCAGCACCTTGCCGATGTGCTTTCCCGTCGCCATGTACCTGCGGGCCCAGCGCGGTGACGACGGCAGCACGCCGCGGCCGCCCGCGGGCGGGACGCGCGCGGGCACCCACCGGAAAGCTTGCTCCAGCTGCTGGTCCGAGAAGACCGTGGCGGGCAGCGGGCGCACGGCGCCGTTGGCGATGCCCTCCGTGACGCAGCGCACCACGGCCGCCTTCTCCTCGTTGTCTACGCCGGCGTCGAACAGTGCGTCCAGCAGGATGCCGTGGAAGGTGGTATTCTTCAGAAAGATAGCCATTCCCTGCGGAGCGAGATCGCGCTGATGAGGCAGGCCTGCGACGACCGGACGTCGAAAAACCGACGGCGAGGAGGGTACCCACCAACGGCGTGTTGTTCGAGAGGTCCAGCTTGCCGATCTCCAGGAAGCGACCGCCGTGCGCCAAGCAGCGCACCGACGCCAGCAGCTTGTCGGCGGCCAGCGAGTTGAGCACCAGGTCGACGCCGCGGCCGCGCGTGCGCCGCAGCACCAGCTGCTCGAACGAGGTGTCGCGGGAGTTGCCGATGTTAGCGTCCTCCAGCTGCGGGAAGCGCTCGCGCAGGAAGGCGCGCTTGTCGGGCGTGCCCACGGTGGTGAAGACGGTGCAGCCGGCGTGCAGCGCGATGGCGATGGCCGCCTGCCCCACGCCGCCGGTGCCCGCGTGCACCAGCACCGTCTCCCCGCGGCGCATGCGCCCGCGCACCAGCAGCGCGTAGTAGGCCGTCGCGTACGCCACCGGCACCGTGGCCGCCTCCTCCAGCGACCAGTCGCGCGGCACGGGCCACAGGAAGCCCTCGTCGGCCAGCACGGTGGTGGCCAGCCCGCGCGCGGCCACCATGCCCATGACGCGACGGCCGCGCGACGAGCGCCCGCTGAACTCCAGCCCGAGGATGCACTCCTGGCCGGCCAGGTCGCCGGGCAGCGCGTCCGGCGGCAGCTTGCCGGTGGCGAGCATGATGTCGCGGAAGTTCAGCGGCGCGTAGTAGACGCGGCAGAGGTCCGTGCCCGGCGGCTGCGGCACCTCGCGGGCCCAGCGCAGCGGGGACTCGATCCAGCGCAGCGACGACAGGTCGCCGCGCGTCAGCGTGTTGACGTACGCGTGCTCCACCTGCAGCTGCGCGGCGGCCGGCTCGCTCAGCGGCATGTGGCGGTAGCAGCCCCACACGCCGGCGCGCAACACGTTCACGCACAAGTCCAGCTGCGCCTGCGCCGCGAAGGCGCCCGCCGCGGGGTCGAAGGCCTCCCGCGCGCCCGGCGCGTGGAACACGCGCAGCGCCCCGCCGCCCGCCTCGCCGCGCAGGCACGTGCCCAGCCCCAGCACCCCGCTGCGGACAGCGCGCGTCAGCCGGGCGTCGGCCGCGCCGCGGGCCGCGGGCCGCGAGGCCGGTGCCACTACCTGTCCTGGGCGCGCGACACGACGTACACGCGCATGTCCTCCGTCTCCGCGCGCTGCAGCGCGTCGCGCAGCGGGCCCACCCAGCCGAAGCCGGCGTCGTCGTCGACGTCCACGACGACGCGCGTCGGGGGCAGCGCGCGCTTCTTGCGCAGCAGCAGGTACTCGCAGCTCGTCGCCACCTGCGCGTGCGAGCAACGCCCTTCGTTTCTCAGACTCACCAGACTCTTACGGCTAAACTGTCTTATAAACATTTTTTTTCAGTTTACGGGACCCGCATTATCTAAAAACTAAATTGTATATAAAAAAACTGTATATACCAAATATTTATAATACTAAAAACTAAAAAAAAGAACCGAATGTAGCTGACGGAAATCGTGTCCGTTTTAAACGGCATCCCTCGCAGTTGAAGATACGCATGAGAGGCCAGATGCGGAGGTTCCACTCGCCTGGTAATCTGTCTTCTTAGTTTGTTACTACGCGCTTTGTGCCGTTGGTATCCGTGAAAATGTACATTTCACGTAATGTACCTACGTACATTAAAAAACAAACACTAGTGTTTGTTTTCTGCGCGAGTATCAAATTCCCGTCGAGCGTAAAGCTTCGAATGGCAATTGTCACGGATAGGCGCGTCGTCCACCATCAGGCGCGCGCCTCGAAGAAAATACTGTACAAATACCTGTCTCGAGACGAGCTGCAGGTCGTGTCGGCGTAGCAAGTCCTCGGCCGCGGGGTCGTCGAGCGCGCGCAGCGGCTCCTCCAGCAGCAGCGCGCCGTTGGGCGCCAGCGCCGCCGCGAGCGCCCCCAGGCCCCGGCCGCCGCGGGCCAGCACGTCCCCGCC